AAAAAAATTGTCTAGATAAGAGCAAAACAATTTCAAAAATTTAAGAGACATTCACTTAATCATTTAAATAATAATAAATATAATAATAATAATAATAATAAATTATTTTGATTTAAAATTTCAATCGAATTAATTAAGTTTATTGTAAGTAATTATATTATCGAACTTAAATCCTTCCACTTAAATTAAATTTGAACTTAAAATAGAAAAAATTACCTTTTTCTTAATAATTTAATATTTATTTAATACGTAAATAAAATTTTACCTAGAATAACAAAATTAAAAGTGTCTCTTAGGCAATATATACTACTATGTGGCAATATTAATTGTTTGAAGATCAATCGAGCGACTTTATCATCAAATTGTGCGACAAACAATTATTTAATTTCTCATCTGAAGAGAATTTTTTCAAACCAATTCCGTTCTATACTGAAAAAAAATGAGAAAACTTATAAAATTATAATTAAATAACTATTTCTCATATTATATTATGATTGTCGGAATGTTATCTCTTGGGGGTATAGGAAAATATCAAGTCCAGACAGAAAATGGACTACGGACTGATGCGCGTGGCAACGACCAGGAACTAATATTTCTATGCCAATTCTCTCCTGCGGAATTAATTTTCTAATACCATTTAATCTGAAAATCCTCTTATCGCAAAGAAATAAGTCGGCCTCCAATGGAGAAAATTTTATTTCACTTTCAACAGTATTTAATCATTAGCATTTTTAATTTAGAAATTGTATTTTTTATTTATTTGATTTTTTTTAATTTTATTAATTTATTTTTTATTCTTATTTATTCAAATTCACGGACGCAAAGCGCCCATGAAATTTATTTCATTTAACAATTTAAATTGTTTTACTTTTTGTACTTTTTTTCTTTAAAGCAATTATAATTATTGTAATAATTTTAAATAAATATTCTTAATTATTACGATTAAAACCACTTATAAAAGCTTATATTATATTCTACGAAATTTTTTACAAATTTTGTTTTTCTTCTAATCTAATAGGATATATATATTTATAAGTTATTTATTTATTAATCACTAAATTAAAAATATCTGTACTTTGAAATATTTTCAAATCTTATCTAAAAAGTCAAGAAGCAAAGGATTACAGTGAAGGTGAATTTTATATTTAACTTTTCTGATAAAATATTTAGTTTATTGTGACTTTGTTCATTGTAAATATTTATTCTACTATTAGTAGAAAATGTGTTTAGTACATAATTTTCTTCTACAATATAAATTAACTCCGCAATAAATACACGGTAAGAAAATAAATATTAAATTTTGTAAAAGTATTTTTTATAATTTAGAATAAAATTCACAATGTTTATTATATCAATAAATGAAAAAATATTTTTGTACTCTAATTTTTATAACTTTTCCCTTATTGATAAATTTTTTACAAAATTTTGTTATACTTTAAAAACCTTTTTCATACTTTATTTTTTTTTTTGAAGAAAAATTTAATTTTTTTTTTTTTTTTGTGAAAAATATTTATTTCAATTAATAATTGATTATAAACATTGTGAATTTCACTAACGTATTTCACATTTCTTTTTACAGTTATTTTTCATATAAAAGTTACCCTTTTTTGTATTTTCTCTCCCCAAAACTTTTAATTAATTTCAAAAAAATTTAATATATATCTGGGCTCGAACCAGTGAAAGTATTTAAAAATACGGACTTTACGAACCAAAAATTAAAAATCACGGACCAAATACTGACAAAAATATAACCAGTCCGAGTCAAATAAGAGAATACACTTTACCTAAAACTATAAATAAATTTTCCATAACTATAAAACACCAAGATATCGAGAACTCCGAGTCGATGACTCGGAGTGATTGATTTCTTCATGTTTTATAATAATTGAAGATGACTGAGTGACAAAATCATTTACAATTCAATTATTATTTTCAAGAATTTTTAACTAAAACTCTTCTTTAAATCCATTATTTTTAATAATTTTCGAAAAAGTTCTTTGACAATTTTCAAATCCATTTGTTTACAATATTTAATTTTACGAAATTTCAATTATTCGTAAATTCTTCAATTAAATAAATATTAGAAAATAAAAACTTAAAATAATATTAAAAAAATTCAATTAAGGGCATTTGAACCATTATGACGTCACAGTTTGTTCAAAGCATTTGTTCTAAATACGTGACTTCATAATGGTTCAAATTCCCTTAAACCTTTTCAAAAAAATTAATTTCAAAATCCAATTATTTTTAAAAATTAACGCTATATTGATTATAATATTCAATTATTATATAAAATTCTAACTGTAATTCATTTTTAAATAAATTTTTATTTGAAAATTCTAGGTACTAAAATTCAATTATTTATACAAAAATAAATAATTTATTCATTAATTGAATGTTTCTTAAAATTTGTGAAAATAATAGAATCTCTAAGAAGAATTTCATTACTTTTTAACAATATTTAATTTTTGCGAAGAATATTATTACTCTTGAAAATAATTAAATTTCTGTAATAATTTGTAACTTTTACAAAATTCAATTTTTTTTTCGTGTTTTTAACTAAACAACTTTTATAAATCCATTATTTTTATAATAATTTTTGAAAAAGTTCTTTAAGAATTTTCAAATTCATTTGTTTACAATTCAATTTTACAAAATTTCAATTATTCGTAAATTCTCCAATCAAATATATATTAGAAAATAAAAACTTTAAATACATAATTTTAAAAAAAATCCTCAATTAAAGTTTCTCGAAAAAAATTAATTCCACCGAATTGTTATATAGTTTAAAATATAAAAAATTCAAATTTTCAAAGATTTTGATCTGAAATCTTTTCAAAATTCAATTATTTCTAAAAATTTACGCTCTAATGCTTTTAATATTCAATTATAATTTAAAAATTATAATTAATAATAAATAATAAATAATTAATTAATTAATAATTAGTTAATTAGTTAATTAATTAATAATTAATAATTAAATAATAAATAAAAATATCTATAAATTTTTAAATAACTGAATTCTTTTGATGAATTTTAATAAAATTTTTAAGACTTTTTTCGAGGAATTCGATCAAAATTGTATCAAAAATAATTTATATTCTGCAATGACTTTTATTATTTATGAAAATAATTGAATTCCTAAAAAGAATTTTTTTATTTACGAAAATAAATAATATTAAATCCCCGTAAAAATTTTATTATTTATGGAAATAATTCAATGATTGCGAAGAAATTTTGAAAATAATTAAAAGTTTGACGAGAATTTAAAAAATTTTTTGAACATAAGTAATTGAATTTCTGCAAACATTTGTAATTTCTCTAAAATTATCCAAATTATATTGTACAATTTACGAACTTTTCATCCTTTTCACTGATTTTCAGTGAAAAAATAACTAATTTTCAGTAAAAAATAACTGAAAAAATAATTAAACTTGACTAATTGAATCAGTCAAAAAAAATTTACTGAAACTTCAGTTATTTTTAACTGACAATCAGTTATTTTTAACTAATTGTCAGTAGAAATATTACTATTTAAATTAGTGACTGACTTTTTGCTTCTGAATCAGTTATTTTTAACTGATTCAAATTTAGAGAGATAGTTCGAGCCCTGAATATATTTATTTTCTTTACACGAGAAAAAATTTGATTCTATTACAATAAATAAAAATGTCATGTAATTTTAAATTAGAAATAAAACTCTTAACAATTGTTCAAAAACTTTTAATCGAATTTCAATTGTGAAAGATCCCAAATAATAACTTTGTATTCACAAGTGTAAATTTTTAGTTAAAAAATTCATCGAATTCAAATAACAATCTTGTTTAATATTGAAATAGCGTTTTATCATTTTTGTTTTGAAACTAAAAAAATTTTTTACATTAAAAACAAATTTTTTTAGATTAAAAAAATTTTAGATATTTATATATAGGTATATGTAAGAAAGTATCGGTATATTTTTCTCATTGCGCATGAGTAACACAACTGATATATTACATGACTTGCGTGTGTAGTCATTCAATTACTTTCGTTTCTTCCTGGTTCTCCGGATGGGGTACTTTTATTTCTCTTTGTGTTCTCTTCTAATTATTACGTTTCTTAAGAAAATTAAACACAAACAATTATTATTTACGTATTTGTAAAATTGTATTTTTCTCCTTTTTATTTTCCGTAAATGTAAAATTTAATTTTCCACTCTCTACAGTTGAATTAGTAAATTTTACTAATAAATTAGTAGAAATTACTATTTATTAGTAAAATTTACTAATTCAAAAGCAAAAAGTCAATAACTAATTCAAATTTAAAGAGCAAATATAAAGTTTAATAATTTACAATTATAAAAAAGAATATTATTATTATTTAAAAAATCGTATGTGACATTTCAATTTGTAATAAAATCAAATTTTTCCTTATTCATCTAAAATAATATTGTTCATATTGCTAATAGTTTATTTAATTATTTATTTATACTTAATATTGCTAATTATTTTTTACTTCTGAATAAGAAAATATTCTATTTTTTTGTAAATATATTTTTTATATAAAATGTAATAATTATATATGTAAAATTTTAATAATTGTTCTTTCAAGTACTTTCTAATTCTGAATCAGTAAAATTGTTGACTTGAATTGACTGAAAATATTAGTGACTCTATTCTCACGATTTTAATCACTGAAAATCAATCAAATTTCCCTATAATCATTTCTCGACACACTCTAAATCTGAATCAGTAAAAATTCCACTGATTTCAATTTAGTGACATAGTTTTCTTTGATGAATCAGTAGAATTAAAGAAAACTGGTCCACTGAATTGAAATCAGTGAAATTTTCATTGATTCAGATTTAGAGTGCAGTACAATTCATTTTATTTCCTACAATTTTTTCGACAAAGATTTATTGAGTTTACATTTTGAAATTTTTTTTTGAAAAATGAATTTTCTCAGAAATAATGCTTTTCAGTATAACATTAGATTCTGAAACAGAAGCATCGAATCCAAAGGAGATAATTGTGAGGAAATCGCAGCTAGAAATGTCACCAGAGTTCTAATTATCATATTTACAAGATTGAAGAGAGGGCCTTGATTCAAAAAAAAAAAAAAAAAAAAGAAAAACATGAAAAATCTACAGCGTACACTTAGAGCTTGTATATCTGAGTGCACTCTACAATAATGCGCGTGCTAGATAGCGCGTAAAATGTGAGTCGAAAAATAGAAGGCGACGAGTTAAGTCTCGAACGGTCTCGTATAAAACCGGAGCGTGCGCCGCGAACTTGATTTACAAGAGGCCGATTAAAACAGTCGCCGAGTCAGGCCCCTTTTACTCGCGGAAGCTGGAGCCGCACTGACTCTTTCGATCTCAGTCAGTGGACCAGCTCGACTAAAAATTCTCTCCACACCTGAGCCCCCAACTTTATTATTCCCAGTAATCGAAAATTTATCCCAAAAAGTGTTAACACTCAATAGACTTCAGTACATCGTTAAAAAATTCGCCAGGAAATTAAAAGCACCAAGAAATCGAAACATTAAAACCATCAAGAAATTAAGAAATCGAGAAATCAAGAAATTAAGAAAACAAGATATCAAGAAATTAAGATTTTAAGCTATCAAGAAATCAAGAAATCGTCTTCAAAAGAAAAATATCCTCCAATCGACTGTGAATTATAAACTGACTGGAAGCAGTATTCAAAAGATCGTCAACAGCAAAGTGATCTTGGGGAAAAGAATTGTTGAACCGTGAATTGCAAACTAACGCAACTACCCAAAGATCGAAAGAAGTAAACCACTATTTACTCCCACCATCACCACCAAGAACCGAATGATCAAAGTGTAAAATATCTAGCCAATCTCAATCAATTTCATTTCCGGGAATTGTTTGCTGCCCTTGAATAGTATAAAAGCAGTTGGAATTCATTCAGTCAAGATGCCAACCATCAGATGGATAGTAACGGGGTGCCAAATAACGGGGAGTGTTCGTTGTTCACGTTTTTCGAGATACCCCACACCTAACATTGGGGTGCGAAAATTTTCTGGAATTGTCAATTCAAATAAATGTACCCGATACATTTGTGAGCCTCAAGGTATCAACAGGGTGACGAGGAGCAAGAAGAATTTTTCCATATTTTCCACAACTCAAATTAATACAATGCCTGCCTCCATCGATTCATTTTATCCACAGTAAGTTTTTGTTTTTCTTGTTGTTGTTATTTTTCTATTCAGTATTAATTTCGTTTGCTGGTGATAAAGCTCCGGAAGTCTTGCGTGCGAGTGTCTGACACAGCTTCCGATGAATCATGACAACTATGTGACATTAGATGCGGGAGAACTTTATTATAATTATGATTCTCTGGGTCCAAATGGGTTTAAGTGGATGTCTCAAGGGGGTTCGAAAGATTCTCTTTAAACTCAAGCTTCTTCTGCTTTCAATTTTACTTCATTTGCGACTAATTTCATTTTGAATTGAAGATTTTATTTTCTATTTACAAATTCAATTTGCGCAGTAAAAAAATTCATTTAATTCAAGTAACCTATTACTCTCTAAATCTGAATTGGTAGTTTTCTACTAATTGATAGTAGAAAACAACTAAATCATGTAGTATGTCGATTTACTAATTTGAAATAGTAAAAAATACAACTTACTGATAAATCAGTAGTTTTCTACTAGTAATTAGTAGTTTATTTCTAGTAATTAGTAGTTTTCTACTAGAAATCAGTAGTTTTTTTACTAGTAATTAGTAGTTTACTACTAAAAATTAGTCAAAACTGTTACTAATTCAAGTAGTAAACAAATCCGCACTCTTTCATTAGTAGAAAACTACTAATTCAGATTTAAAGAGTATCAAATAAATATTTACTTGAGTCAAATAAGTTGTAATTGAACCAATAAATTTAATATTTGGAACAGGTTATACCATTTAATTGACTTAAATAATTATTTGATTCAATATTTAATTGATCGGTCAAGTAATCGGTTATTTAAATCAAATGAACTTTTTTTCAGTGCAAATATCTCCCCAAAGTTCTGAACGTTAAAATGAACGAAAATTTATTTTTTCTTGAAATTAAATAATTTTAATTATAATTATTTTGCGTCACTATTAAGAAAATAAATAACTCACCCAGAGATATTTTATTTAAACAAAGAAATTTTATTTTATTTTATTTGAGTTAAATAAACGTAGGTATATTTGTCTCAAAACCAAGTAGGTTATTTATTTGACAAATAAAATTTTATTTAAACCAAATAAAATTTATTTGAAACAAATAAAAAGTCTAGTTGGTTCTGAGTCAAATATATCTTTACTCTGGGGTGTAAAGTTTTTATATGTGAAATTTAGATTTTTTTAAATTTACATTTAATTATTACAATCAGTAATGTATGGAAAAAATTTTTAAAAAATATTTCGTTCATTTGAACGTGCGAAATTTGTCGATTATTGCAAATTATATAAATGTAGCAATTTTCTTAAAGAATTTTTTCTTTATTCTTTTGTATAGAAACTGTTCTTTATTCATAAAGTTTAAGAATATATTTATTTAATATTTATTCTAAAAATGATCCTACAGTGGTTTTAATAAAATTTTTCGATATTTTTTCCTTATAAAAGATTTTTGCAAGATTTCGTGATTTCATGAATTTTTTGTATGAATATAGAAAATTATCAAGACTCCAAAACGCAAAAAAAAAGTCGTTTTAGTCAATTCAAACCGATTACTTGTCTATTAATAAATAAATATTTACTTAAATAATTTTTATTGAAATAAAATAAAATTGAATTGAATTGCAATAATTTCAGTCTAAAATTGCAGCAGTAATTCTTTCAAAATTTAATTATTTTCTAGAATTTCTAATTAAAATTCTATTTCAATTAGAATTCAATTATATATTTCTTTAATAGACTAAAAGTACAAATTTTATTTAAAAAACACATATTCTTAAATGTAGAATAAAGTTACAATGGTACATTAAAAACAATGAATGAATAAAAATAATAATAATAATAATAATAATAATTATAGAGATATAATGATTCATTGGAAGTTATTCGCTTTTTATTTTACTCTGAGGACTTTAACCATCAGATAAATTCGCTTCAATCTCGAAAAAAAATTGCCCGAAATTGAGTCACTGAATTATATGATAAATTAAAATACATTTGATAAGAAATATAACGTGTTTCTGGCTAAGAAGATTAGGAAATATTCAAAATATATTTTTAAACTTTGCAAAATATTTTGCCAAAATATAAGAATAAATATAGTAATATGAATAGTTAAAAAGTAAAAGAGTATAGAAAAATAGTAAAATAATAAAATAGAAAAATAGAAAAAGAGTAAAAGAGTAAAATAATAAAATTGTATAATAGTAAAATAGAAAAAGAGAAAAAAAATTAAAATAGTAAAATAATAAAATAGTAAAAGAGTAAAATAGTTAAATGTAAAAAATGAATTACTAATTGGTACAATTATTATAAATCAGCATTTTTCCTAAAATATTTTTGCAATTTGATTATTCTAGAGTTACGAGTCTTCTGACAACACACGCAGCTAAAAGTCCGTTAACGAAAAACGACTATTACGAGCAAATAGGAGGAGTACCGATTATAAGCCACATTAATAATCCACTATCACCGAAACTAAGAGCCTATATTGAAGAATGTGTCAAATTATGTCAACCGGACGACGTTTACATTTGCGATGGAAGTGAAGCTGAAAATAATCACATGATTAATCTACTTGTAAAAAAAGGGACCATTGAATCACTGCCAAAATACTTCAACTGGTTCGTACTCTTGTTTTTTATTCTAAACTATATACGATAAACATACACATAATGGTACATAACTCCCCCATTATATGTAATACCGTATACCTAATGGGAAATGCCAGTGTAGTGCCGATGTTCACCACTGGCTTAGTACTCAGACGATTGTTCGGCGTAGTCTAGCCGAGCCTCGACAATTAGTGCTGGCGCAGTACAGAATTTTTGTTTCGCCAAAGCTTGGACAAGCCACGGCGGCAAGTGCTGGCTGAGTATAGAAAAATTGTTCACGACGCTCTTTGCCAACATTGCTTTTTTGACATAAACTTGAAAAAAAATTATAAAAAAAGTTTAGGAATGTTTATAAATATAAATTTATTGAAAAAATTAATATTTTACTTTTCAGTTGTTCATTTTTTATTCTTATTAAATTTAGTAATAACAATTTAACATATTTGTCTAATTTTGTAAATAATAAATTATTTAAACAAATTAAAATTATAAACAAAATTTAAACTTTAATCTCAATAATAATTTGGTTCCTATTAAAATACTATTATACTTCTTACTATGAATAAAAAATTATTAAAAAATTACCACGTAATTTAAGAATTACGTAAAATCTTAAATGCAATAAGTAAAGTAATTTAATTTAATTATTAAAAATTTAGTTTAATTTATTTTATTTGAATTTATTATTTCTAACGTATCCCTATTTTTTTATTTTCTCATCTTTGACTCAATAATTGTATGTATGAATGATACTGAGATATTAATACTTTACTGTACACATGTGTCGTTAGCATAGTGGTTAGAGCATTAGTCTGTTAGTCCGTAGGTCGTAGGTTCGATTCCCCTCGTCAGCAATTTTGTTTATTTTCATAGGTTTGCGATATTTCTAGATTCCAATCGTTAGGTACTAAAATATGAAAATCTAATGCACACTTACTGTAATTGTTTATTATTTAATTTTTAAATGTTATAAACAATTTTTTTCTACTTCATTTACTATATCCATTGTGAGTCTCCATCTTTAATACAATTTCTTTAAGAAGAGAAATATTTTATGAATAATAACTATTTATTAATATTATTTACCATTTTGTTGCTAAATTATTTATAATTATGAATTTACGACTAATTAATAACAATACGGCATTTATTGCTGCAATATTCTCAGCCAGCACTGCTCCAGTGCTGCGCCAGCGCTGTCTGGCAGCACTGGCAGGCAGTAGTTCGCCAGCGTTAGACAGCGTTATCATCCCAGAGTTATGCCAGTGCTGTCTGTCAGCCTTGCCGCCAGTGCTGCCAGTGCTGGCGCAGTACTCCGCCAGTTGTAAATTTCCCATTGGGATATGACGTAAAGAAGATAATTAAAGTCACCTATTTATATATTAAAACAACTTTCAAATAAAACTTTAGACATCATATTTTTGAACCTCGAAATCATTTTTCATTCAATTTGTAGAAAAGTTATAAAAAAATCAAACAAAATTAAATAAATTCAAACAAAATCAAACGAAAATCAAACAAAATTAAACAAAAGCAGACAAAAACAAACAAAAACAAACAAAAATCAAACAAAAATCAAACAAAATTAAACGAAAATTAAACAAAAGTCAAACAAAATTAAAGAAAATTAAAGAAAAATCAAACAAAAGCAAACAAAATCAAATAAATTTAAACAAAATTAAATGATACTCAAACAGAATCAAAAGAAAAATTAAACGAAAATCAAACGAAATTATACGAAATCGAACAAAATCAAACAAAAATCAAAGAAAGTCAAACAAAAACTATCGGAAACTATCAAAAATCAAACAAAAATAAACAAAATTACCTAAGCAAAATTAAACAAAACCAAACAAAAATCACACAGTTTTTCTAAGGATATCAAATTGAGACAAAAAACGTAGCAAAATGTTGCGAAGCAACGTTTTGATAGGTTTTTTGTCTCAATTTGATATCCTTAGAAAAACTGTCAAAACAAAATCAAACAGAAAATCAAATAGAAAAATTAAAGAAAGAATCAAACAAAAAATAAATCAAAAAAATTATTAACAAAACAAATAAAAACAACGGACAAAATACATTTTACTCAAAATTTAATTACATCTAAGTCAATCGAAAGTGAAACTGGATAGTACGTATTACATCAAGTTTCACTTACTAGTTAATTTAACTTTCTTCTTTAGCCTAGATTTAAAATGCTCTTATTTTACAAATTTTCAATGTGTACTTTACAACAAATTATGAAAAAAAAAATTTTTCTCGAAATAATTACAAACTATGTGTGTGTAAAATAAAAAAAAATTGGTACACTTTCACTGAGATGATGTGAATTCGAGTAAAGAAGAAGAAGAAGAAGAAGAAGAAGTGTGACGTTTGCGTATGTACATCAGTAAATTATACACATATGTGTGTTGACCGTGACTTTATAAGACTTTACAGTTATCATGAAATATCAGCTGCAGGCAATTTGCAACGTCAAACGTCACACATTGGTCTTTGTACTCTTTCGAAAATTCAAAACCCACATTACCTGCTGCATATCGAAAATTATTACTAAATATATTTCCTCAATAAATAATGCTGATAATTCTATATATTCAAATAAGAAAAAAATAACGATTCCATTCTTTCATAAGAAATTATGTCAAAGTTAAAAAAAAAAACGCCCAAAAAACAGACACAACATTATTTATCAAAAATTATTCAAAACATATAGAGCATAATATTTTCGGGTCAAAATAAGTGAAACCGGCCACTTGAAAAATTTTTGTCCCCGAATTTAAAGTTATCTATGGTTTTTGATAGATATATGAGTAAACTTTTACCCGCTAAAATATTTTTCAAAAATTTTATTTATTTTGAAAGTTATCAGGTGTTAAACTTTTAGGTTACTTTTTATTCTTTTCATTATTACTCCGAAACGAATGAAGATAATTTCAATTTTTTTTTTGGAAATTAAAGCTAAAAGTCTGTAGTTTAAAGTGCAACTGAAAAAATTGCTGTATAATAAAAATTTCTAATTGTTATTAACAATTATTTTAAACAATTGCGATTTAAAGTATGTTCTCAATGTCGGAAAAAAATCAAACTATACTCATGTGATGCGCAAAACTCTAACGAGTAAATTAAAAAAAAAAAAAGTGAGTAACCTCTAAAATTACAGAAGTTATGCATATTTTTCTGACGACGCGCGGGAATTAACTGATTCGCAAACTCTCGAGCGCGCGGGAATACGCCCGCGCCCGCTCCCGCCGCACTGCTCACACTTGTGTTTTCAAACAATTTATGTTTACAGAGAAGGAGAAGTAATTAAAATATTATTTTCTTACTGAATAGTTTATTAATATTTTTACTTTTGGAGTAATTATATACATAAAAACCATTTTGTATGTACTCATAAACTGCTTTGCAGTTTTTATGCTTTGATAAAAAAGTTTTTTCGTGGGTCTGATATTCTTGAATCGTACAAAAATCGAAATCGATATTGTTTGTGTAGAATTTCATCAAAAAATTTTTTAAATAATTGGATTTCTAAATAAAATAATTGAATCATTTGTCACTTCTCCAAAATTCAATTTTTATTAGTGTTTTAACTGAAATTTCTTCTATAAATTCGCTATTTTTAATAATTTATTATTTCTTAAAATTGTATTCCCATAAAGAATTTTATTAACAAATTTTTAAATAATTGAATTCTTTGAAAGAGTTTTAATAAAATGTTTAAGAATAATTATTATTAAAAAAAAATAAAATAAAAAATAAAATAAAAAATAAAAATAAATAAAATAATAAATAAAAAATAATAATAATAAATAATAATAATAATAATAATAATAATAATAATAATAATAATAAATAAATAAATAAAATGTTTAAGAATAATAATTATTCTTAAACATTTTATTAAAACTCGTTCAAAGAATTCAATTATTTAAAAATTTGTTAATAAAATTCTTTATGGGAATACAATTTTAAGAAATAATAAATTATTAAAAATAGCGAATTTATAGAAGAAATTTCAGTTAAAACACTAATAAAAATTGAATTTTGGAGAAGTGACAAATGATTCAATTATTTTATTTAGAAATCCAATTATTTAAAAATTTTTTGATGAAATTCTACACAAACAATATCGATTTCGATTTTTGTACGATTCAAGAATATCAGACCCACGAAAAAACTTTTTTATCAAAGCATAAAAACTGCAAAGCAGTTTATGAGTACATACAAAATGGTTTTTATGTATATAATTACTCCAAAAGTAAAAATATTAATAAACTATTCAGTAAGAAAATAATATTTTAATTACTTCTCCTTCTCTGTAAACATAAATTGTTTGAAAACACAAGTGTGAGCAGTGCGGCGGGAGCGGGCGCGGGCGTATTCCCGCGCGCTCGAGAGTTTGCGAATCAGTTAATTCCCGCGCGTCGTCAGAAAAATATGCATAACTTCTGTAATTTTAGAGGTTACTCACTTTTTTTTTTTTTAATTTACTCGTTAGAGTTTTGCGCATCACATGAGTATAGTTTGATTTTTTTCCGACATTGAGAACATACTTTAAATCGCAATTGTTTAAAATAATTGTTAATAACAATTAGAAATTTTTATTATACAGCAATTTTTTCAGTTGCACTTTAAACTACAGACTTTTAGCTTTAATTTCCAAAAAAAAAATTGAAATTATCTTCATTCGTTTCGGAGTAATAATGAAAAGAATAAAAAGTAACCTAAAAGTTTAACACCTGATAACTTTCAAAATAAATAAAATTTTTGAAAAATATTTTAGCGGGTAAAAGTTTACTCATATATCTATCAAAAACCATAGATAACTTTAAATTCGGGGACAAAAATTTTTCAAGTGGCCGGTTTCACTAATTTTGACCCTTTCCCAAAATTCTCTTTGCAATTTTTGAAATATTTTTCTAACACGAATTCGATAAATTTCTATAAAAATCTTCCGCTATATTGAATCCGCCATTTTGAATTTTTATAAAAGATTTAAACTTATGCGATAAATTTCTTAAAAAACTATATTTCATATTAATATTAACTATATTTCATACATCATTTTCAAATTTTAAAAACTGATTTCGAATTCTTAATCAGCGACTCCAAAAAACCCTGGGTAATAAGTTTTAAAAAAATTCGATAAATTATTAATTTTTTTGTTCGCTATATTGAATCCACCATTTTGAATTTTTTAAAACTGACTTCGAATTCGCAATCAACGACCCAAAAAACCCCCGAGTAATAAATTTCAAAACAATTCGATTAATTATTAATTTGTCGTCCGCCATATTGGATCCGCCATTTTGAATTTTTAAAAACTGACTTCGTATTCGTAATCAGCGACCCAAAAAACCCCCGAGCAACAAGTTTCAGAACATTTCGATTAATTATTAATTTGTCGTCCGCCATATTGGATCCGCCATTTTGATATTTTAAAACCTGACTTATAGATATCAAATTGAGATAAAAAACGTATAAAAATAGTTGCGAACCAAAATTTTGATACGATTTTTGTCTCAATTTGATATCCTTAGAAAAACCTATGATAGTATAAAAAAATAGAGAATAATTTTCTGCAATAAATAAATTGTCTCATCTCACACAGCTGGTTAGCAAGAACAAATCCAGCCGATGTTGCCCGAGTGGAGAGTCGTACCTTCATTTGTACCAATTCAAAAAATGAGACCATTCCCACGCCGAGAAATGGAATCAAGGGAACACTGGGAAATTGGATCTCGCCCAACGATATGGAGGATGCTGTAATGGATCGCTTTCCAGGATGTATGAAAGGTAAACAAATAATCTAAAATGATACACGAGTGGTGATGATGATCAAATTTCATAATTGCGGGCAAATTCCTTCATAATACACATTTCACGCAGAGAACAAATTTTTTTCCCTGTAAATTCATCACAATGTTTCGAAATTCATATTATTGACGATTACATTTTTTTCAAAGATTGAATCGTGTGTGTGTATTCTATACAAAAGCGCTGATATTGTGACAGGAAAAATATGCGACCGTAGATATAATTGCTCGCTTTGTAAACAAGATCACTGCGAATTGAGGCGATAATGAATTACATTATTATGCGTATTTTTTTTCTTCATCGCTTTATAATTTTTCTCTGAATGTCAATAACCGTGTGTGGCGAATTATTTTCTTTTGTCTAAATCAGAGTTGTTGCCAAAGAATAAAAGTATTCTACATTCAAGGGGAATCCTTTTGTTTTGAGAGGATAACTTTCTTAATTTATCCTCTCAAAACAAAAATATTCCACTTGAATGGATATTAGAAGATAGCCTCTAAATACGATATAATTTATTAATAATTAATTACCGGAGAAATAATCGTTTTGAATAAATAAAATAAATGAATAATAAATCATCGAAAATGAATAATTAATTACAACACACTTGGCTGATATTGAATTTTCTATCGAAGGTCGCACCATGTACGTGATACCATTCAGCATGGGACCAGTTGGTTCTCCGCTATCGAAAATTGGCATCGAAATAACCGACTCGGCCTACGTCGTGTGCTCCATGAGAATCATGACCAGAATGGGTTCTCAAGTTTTGGACTTTCTGGGCAAGGGGGACTTCGTCAAGTGTCTCCACTCTGTGGGAATGCCAAAATTAGATTCCAAAGTCAAGGTGAATCTCTCCTGGCCCTGTGATCCCGAGAGGACAATAATTCTCCACAAACCAGCCAAGAACGAAATCGTCTCCTATGGTAGTGGCTACGGAGGGAATTCACTTTTGGGCAAAAAATGCTTTGCACTCAGAATAGGTTCCACCATTGCCAGGGACGAGGGTTGGCTAGCCGAACACATGCTGGTAATAACCAATGTTCTTTTTGATTTTTATATTTATTTATAATACTTTAAACAGATTTTAAACCTCTCTCCTCATTAAAATGCATCATTTTTATGTCCACAATGGGGAGAGAGGTTAAAAATCTGTTTAATGTCCATGTAGTGTGTTTAGACTTTAAACCCCTTACCCCCTCAGAAGTGCCCTAAAAGTGTTGATCATCTTTTAAATTTAAACACTTAACGTTTTTAGATTCTGGGAATAACGAATCCAAAGGGCAAGAAACGATACATCGCGGCTGCATTTCCAAGTGCATGTGGCAAAACGAATTTAGCAATGATGCAACCAACGCTTCCTGGTTACAAGATTGAGTGTGTAGGCGATGACATTGCCTGGATGAGATTCGACAAGAAAGGGGTTCTAAGGGCAATAAATCCAGAAAATGGATTCTTCGGCGTTGCTCCAGGCACAAGTATGGCGACAAATCCAAATGCCATGAAGACCATTTTTCAAAATACAATCTTCACGAATGTCGCCAAGACCAGTGAGGGTGGTGTTTTCTGGGAGGGAATGGAAAAGGAAATTCCAAATGACGTCGAGGTAGAGTATTTCAAATAATTAAATAGTAATCGAATGGTCACATCGAAAAATGACAGTAAAAATTTTAAATGCGAGTACTCCTAATTTCAAGACGTTCTGTAGAGGCATAACCCAAATTATATATTTAATTTGTCCGGCATCAGTGATTCAAACCGGAAGGCTCTGATATTAATGGACAGGTTTCAAGAAAGAGTAACTGTTAAATTATTAAAGTTTTTATTTGAATCCTTTACAATTAGAATCAGAGAGAAAGAGTAGATCCATTCTGGCCAGCCAAAGTGAAAGGTCCTGAGTGTAGATGTCGATGTAAATTAGATAAAACACCCCTCAGCCTAGGAGTGACCGAATTATTGATTTGTAATTGAAGAAGAAGAAAAATAAGACGTAGAAGTAGAAGAACAGCATAAAACTAATTTTTAATTCCAGATTACGGATTGGCACAACAATGAATGGAACTATGATGTCAAAGCTCCAGCCGCTCACCCCAATTCTCGATTTTGCTCACCAGCTGACCAATGTCCGATAATCGATCCCAATTGGGAAAATCCGGAGGGAGTTCCTATCGATGCTATTCTCTTCGGAGGACGAAGACCACAAGGAGTTCCTCTCGTTTACCAAGCACGCAATTGGGAGCACGGCGTTTTTATCGGAGCCACCATGAGATCGGAAGCTACAGCTGCTGCCGAATTCAAGGTAACTAATTCTTTCGACAACGTTCGTAATTTACTCACTCAATCTAGCAATTCAATCAACAATTGATTAAACATTCAATCAACATTCAAGCGATTCAATCAATAATCAAGTGTTTTTTCGATTCTTGATTGAATTGTTTGATTGACCAATCATCTAATGCCAAATGTTCCTTATCTAATGCATCAATCTAAACTCTTTTTATCTATTCCAGGGCAAAATCATCATGAACGATCCCTTCGCAATGCGACCATTTTTCGGCTACAACTTTGGTCACTACCTCAAGCACTGGCTAAGCATGGAGAATGTGGAGAACGCCAAATTACCCCAAATCTTTCACGTCAATTGGTTCAGAAAAGGAGAGAACGGAAAATTCCTCTGGCCCGGATTCGGAGAGAATTCTCGCGTCCTCGATTGGATCCTAAGAAGGGTAGAGGGCGAAGACATCGCTAGGGACTCAGTTATTGGTCTAATTCCAAAACCAAATTCCATTAATTTGGAAGGTATTAAAGAGAACGTCAACATGGATGAACTATTCAGGTTACCGAAAGATTTCTGGCAAAAGGAAGCCACCGACCTCAAAGAATATCTCGATTCTCAAGTGGGAGACGATCTTCCAAAGCAGATCACTTCTCAATTAAAAATTCTCACGAAAAACGTGGACAAACTTTAAAAAATACAAATTTATCCTTTTAATTTAAAAAAAAGGTGAATCAGTTTTCCTTCGAATCACTTCGGATAAAATTAAATTTTGTCTTGATAATTAAGAAAATTTGCTTCACTTTTTTTATCTTTAAAATTTTGTTATTTAATTCTTTCTTTTTCTGAATGTAAGAAAAATGCGATGTATATATTATATATGCACGATCACTCTTGTATGATGTTTGACATCCTGCAAACGTGTACATAGTATTATAAAATATAATGTATTTGTAAATTATAAAGTCTGCATTCCAGTTAAATTAAAATGCATTTCGTGTTCGTGTCACAAATGTGTGGCGATTTCTCATTTTGGCGTTCGAATAATAAGTGATGTAAAAAGAAGAAAAAAAAAAGTTTATACATTAAGTAATTACGTTCATATACCCAGTCATTGTCATGCTTCTAGAAAAAATTGACAAATAAAATTAATGTAATTTTTACAAACTGATTTACGATTCGTCAATTTTTTTCCAATAAATTGCAATTTCGAAGTTTTACCACTTTCTTACGGAATACATTTCTGATTATTTAAATGTATTATTATTATTATTATTATTATTATTATTATTATTATTATTATTATTATTATTATTATTATTATTAATAATAATATTATTGTTAATAGTATTATTATACATCATGTATTTATAATTTATAATAATTGATGCAAATACATAATTAGTTTTTAGTTTGTTTATAATATGAAAAATTATACTTTTACTAAATATTAGAAAAAAAACTAGCAAAAAGTGCTGCAAAATTGCTCTATGTCATTGCTAAAGAGGCAGTTTTGCGAAGAGAGTTTTATGAATTTCCAACAAAGATCTGTCTGTCTAGGAGCGACTCGATCTACTCAAAAAGTAACTAGAATGGATCGATAACAGAAACGTCGGCAATATAGAATTTCAACGCTTATAATGAAAAAAACTATTCTTTTCAATAAACTTTTCTTGTTATTATCATTAGTGATTTATCCACTCGGTAAATATTTCCCTTATAAATACCGCTCCTTATAAATATTTTTCATTTTTATCTGCAGTTGATAAATTACCAGGCGATTCTCTCAGTAGCTAAAGTATTCTACCAAAGATGGCATACCACTCTTCATCTAAACAGAAAATATTCATCATATTTCAAAAAGTCGAACTAATGTTAATTACTTGAATTCAAATTTAATTTTAATTCTAATTCTAGCTGTTGGAAACAATTTTCATAATAACAATTTAAAGAAAAGATCAGAAAATTAAAAAAAACAATTAAGAGAAGTCGAAAAGAAAGAAAAAAGTTTGTAATTAAAATCATTGCAGCGTACAGAAATTTTGATTCAATAAGCATTCTGTAAATTCAATTAATTTCACAGGTTTTTCTGCAGATATAAAATTGAGACAAAAAATGAATCGAAAGAGTTGCGATCTTTCTATATAATAGATCTATATAATACTATCAATGAACATTTGTTTTCTACAATAAATTACGCAGATTATATAGATTGTAGATAAATTATTTGATTAATTTTAAATTTATTATAGAATTAAAGAAAGATTTTTAAATTTTATTAATTAAAAATTGAAATTATTTTGCAAGGAATAAAGAAATACTATAAATGAAAAATTGTAAAGTAAACACGTGTTTTGTTCACGTGTCTTGTGAACGATTATTTTTGCATGCGTTTATAAATGCCCCGAAAGAAGCTTTTACAATATTGCATCGGGAAGTATTTTAACATTCAAAGGAGTTGCTTCAGCGCAAACTTTGCCAGCCAAAGCAGTGGACTTCCATGTGAGATTGGTATTTACAATTCAAGAGAAATCCTCCTTGCCTCTGGACAAGGATCGTCCCTCCATTTGTACAACTCTGTATGTCAATCCGTTATAATTTCTCCGCTAATAGAATCCAAGATTTCGTAGCGAATCGTGCAATGACTTTTAATTCCGCTCTTCTCGTCTCTCACCTTCCAACTTTTACCATACAGTCAAACTCTATAAGTAAATTCAAATCTTTCTAAATTGTAACATCTAATTTTAAATTGAACGCTGAAATGTTTTTTTTCTGAAACTGTTTCATAATAACCTCTAATTTTTTTTTGAAATGTATGCAAGAAGTTAGCTGTTTTTCTTTCAAAGTTTTTCACTTTCTTACAAAGTTTGAGAAATTAAAAATGCTTTGCAAAAGAGAGGTAGTTGAGGACTATAATTTTTAAAGATTCGATTCTTTTAATTTCTTATAAATGCCTGAACTTTAAGTTTGCGTCTTCATTATCGTGCATCGGTAAAAACTATTATAGTTTTTTACAATCATTCGATATTCCTTATTGTGATTGGACATAACAAAATTGTAACATGAATTGTAACTGCAATTGCAACCACCATCGATTGCAACTATAACTATAAATGCTCGCAATTACCAACAATTTATACCAAGCATCGATCGACTGGAACAATTCTATTGATTGATACTTTAATTGCACTATTAAAATTCAATAAAAGATAAAAGAAGTTTGTGGAAACAAAATGCTTTCTAAGTCTTCATGTTAAATAAAAGTTGCTTCAAAATTTATCGCATTTTTATATCTTCGTCGTGAAAATTAGTATTTGTCTTAAAATATATGCTTTTAAAAACGAATTTCAATATAATGAATAATGAAATAATGCAACAAAAAAACAAACGATAGTTTTGAAATAATTTCTAAAGAATATGAAAAAATTCTCTTCTCGACGGTTTCAGTTTGCATATTGTAAGAAGAGAGCATTGGCATGTTGGAAATCGAGTTCACTTTGTCTTGAATTACGCCGAATCGACTCGAAATCATTCCGATTTCTGTGCGAGGTCGCATCGTTTGGAAGCGATCCGCGTACATCTTTATGGTGCAAGAGAAGCGATTTGCGAATATGTAATCATTCTTATTCACAGATCATGCAGTCAATTAGTTTCTTAAATTTCTGTTGCTAAATGACGGAGTTTTTCTTGGAAATTTAGTTTCCAAATTGCTTTTTTTTCATTAGAAAAAAGCTAATGAAAAAGAAAAATGCAGTAGTATAGACTAAATATAATAAAAATTTCTGCATATAAAATAAAAATTACAGAATAAGAAGCGTATACAGAATAGTGTCGATTATCTCAAGATCATAATTGAATAGTGCGATCATCCTGTTTGTATCGATTTGAAATCCAAATTTGGAGTCATTTTATGCCAATTTATTTCAATTATGGCACGTCGGCTTTCTTCATATGGAAAGTTGAAACCTTCTTATTGTGCTTGGGATGTGTATTGACTATTATCAGCGAATCCGTTCTCCTTATTGGTGCGAATCAATAAGTCACGTCCATATTAGCCAACTCACTTGTCTGTGCTCATCTTCAAAAGCTTCCCATATTTGGGACTACCACCCACGGGCGATGCCAGTCGCATTCAAAACAATCCTCATACCTGCGAGATCTTAAATTCAGAAAGGATCTTCGCCATTCCGCCAAATATATCGCTTCTCAGTATTTTTTTATTAGCAATTATTTCCATTCTTCATTACTCTTAATCCCTTTGGAGTTTATACTGTTTCACCTTTTCATCTACTACTTTTTCTTCTTAAAAATAAATTTCTCAAACTTAAAAGCATCAAATTGCAACGAATTGATACCAAAAATGTGGATCAGATAAAAAATTTATCCAAATTTTTGGCATTAAGTTGATCCTTATTTAGTACCAATTTGATACTAAAGATTGTAAAGATTTTTACTGTTTCTTAATGAAAAGGCTTTGGCTGATGAATTATAGGTATCTATCTCTTCTTGAGTAATGGTAATTAATGTCTAAGATTTGTTACAACATTTAGTTGTCAAGGGACACGAAGAAGATGATTCCTTAAGTGAAGTTAGTAGTTTCCCGATGCGGAAGTTGAGAGAGTCTCATCGCAGTTAAGTATACATCCATCCCTCGACTCTCGCTCGCAGAACACGTAGGAGGAATGTCCTAGTACACGTAGCACACCTATATACCAACACTAATATTCTGAAAAAACAATCAACGAGAGCCTTAAGTAGTGACATGCTGATGTACTCTCTCAGCAACAGTTTTGAAACAGTTTCAGAAAGCAAATTACCCATCATATCCTTGTCTCTTTGATAAAAAAAGGGAAATAAAACAACAAATGATAATTTAAGTAATGAATAAAATAGCACCTACAAATAATAACCCCTATGTGCTCAATCTTCTTTCCCCTTTATTCACAATTTTCTTCCCTCTATCCAAATTGCTATCTACAAATTAGATAGAAATTTGGATATATGCTTGTTTCCAAAAAAGAAACCTATATATTAAATAGAGTTGTTCATTAATTTCACTAATGAATTTTGGAGAATAATCATGTGTCTTGACAGAATTATTGATATCCAATCGGGACGAAGATAGTATCAAAAGTCAAATGGAAAAGCGTATAAACAATTGTTAGTACAAAAATTATTTACTGGTCCCAAACTATTGCTAGAACAATAAAATTATTCCAATTAATATCTAGGTTGTCAAAATTAATTTAATTCACAATTCATAAAAAGTAACCACAGCCGATAATCAGCGCAGGAGATGAAAAATTATTTTTTGAGCGAACTTTATGTTTTGTTTGTTAACAGTTGTTAATAAAAAAATTATTTACTGTTCCTAAACAATATTGTCTAGATCAAAATTTTCTCAAAAATCTTTAAAAACAGACAAAATTCCAGAAAATTTTTTAAATTCCATACTATTTCCAGGTTTTCCATACCTTTTTCTAAATTCCATACCTTTTCCAGGTGAGGATTTCCAGACTCTGTGCCAACCATGAATTTCAATTATTTTTAATACTATGCGTTTTAAATTACAATTAATCGAAAAATTCAATTATTTTTACAAATAAAGTATTCTACAAGAATTCAAATATTTAAAATAAAATTTCCATAATATTTATTATATTTTGAAAAAATTAATTATTTAAAACAATGTTTATAAAATTCTTATGAAAAATTCAATTATTTGCAACAATAACAAAATTATTCACAGAAATTCAATTCTTTTTAAATATTTTCAAAAAAATTTTGTCAGTAATTCAATTATTTTCATAAGGGTTGGTCATTCACAATAACTTAACGTCACGCTTTTACGGACTGATTTTTACCGCCTCCCCTCCTTCGTCACATTTTTTACATGCAAAAAAATTTTTTTTACACACTTCGTCACACACAGCTTGACACCCCCCCCCACCCCTAGGAGTGTGACGTAGTTTATGAACGACCCCTAAATAATAAAATTCTTCTGAGGAATTCAATTATTTTTTAAAATTTTAATAACATTTTTAGCATTTATTCAATTATATTCATAAATAATCAAATTCATCACAGGATTTTGTAACAAATATTTATTCTCAGTATTTGAGAAAATATTTAGAAACAGTGTAATTACAAAAAAATCAGTTTAAATTAAAA